TGGAAATGGCTTAGAAGTGAATATTCAGAATCTGTTGCATCCGGGGAAGGGAGGTAATGTTAAGAAGGGATTCATGCTCCTCCCTGGCTCACTGGGTGTAAGAGGGAGGGCAGGAGAAGCACAATCAGACTTGCAAGATTCTGTTATTTATTATAGCCAACTTCAATAAAGTATATTTCTAGCCTTCCTATGGAGTCTAGCCTTCCTGATCTGGTCTACCTCAAAGAAGCCTGAACTCTTACAGGGAGAGGATCCCCTAATGCTGGTGCTGCCACCAAGGGGATTCAGTTCCTAAGTCATTCTAGGAAAACGTCCCTCCTGAACGGCATCAACAATAAACCCTTAGAGGACAATCTGAACTCCCAGTTCACAAAATATATTGGAGGCTGTTCTTTCAGGTAAATGCATGTGAATGCAGTGATAATGATAAATAAGTAACTTGTATGAACATGTGGAATTATTTTTGGAGTTCATAGAAAATAACTCAGTTTGATCTGGGCAGTTCTACTGCATTACGGAACAAAGGGTTTTCTATACGTGCTCCACCACTGACACCTGGTGTTTAGCTTTGCTCATTGCAAGGACTATTCATTCAGTGGAAGGCACTAAGCAAAGCAGTCATCAAAGTCAGTTCCTTGCCCATAGCAAAAGGCCTCTAGCCATAAGATTAACTATACTGCAATCTTTCAGTATCTACAGTATGTTTCCATCTGAAAAAAATGTTTCGGAGAGATGATCTACTAATTTTGGGATCCCAGGGTGGTGACCCTGAGCACCAATGTTCCTGCAGACTTTATAGCTAACATCCTTATGATGCCATGTCCCATCGGTGGGTAAGAGAGAGGGAGAGAGGGACTGGCCCTGCTATCCTGAATGGGCAAGCCCCCACCCCACCCGCCCTCAGCAGCACAGTGCTGACAATGTGCTCACAAATTTCCAAATGTGCCCACTAGACAAAAAAGGTTGGGTACCCTCCACTATCGGTGTTTAGTTTCAGACAGCGCTGAGAGTGCCAATAAGCAGGTTTAGTTCACACAATAATGTCAAGCCAAGATTTTTAACTACAATTAAAAATGGTTAAGCAAGCACAGTGGTCTGGTTTACCTACTGTATCACACTAAGCTAAGACCAAAGAAACTACCATCTTGTTTTTGTTGAAAATCAGTCCATAGGATGTTCTTAAAGTAAAGATGAGCTAAATTCCTGGTGACTAAATGGAAGCATTCATTGGAGACTGGGGGGAGGGGGGGCACCAAACAGAAATAAATTGTTGATACCTTTTTCTGGTATATTTTTTCAATTTCTCAGCCTATAGATCTAGGAGTGATCTCCCACCCCAGTACTAAAAATGTCCAACCCTGTGGTGTATATTTGAAGTAAGTCAAGATTGGGTGAGTTTTTCACCTAGTACAAGGGATAATCTTATGAAGAGAGCCAGTTTGGTGTGGTGGTGAAGGGGCTGGCCTAGAAACCAGGAGGCTGTGAGTTCTAGTCCCGCCTTAGGCATGGAAGCCGGCCGGGTGACTTTGGGCCAGTCAGTCTCTCTCAGCCCAACCCACCTCACAGGGTGGTTGTTGTGGGAAAATAGGAGGAAGGGGTATTAGGTATGTTTGCTGCCTTGAGTTATTTATAAAAAATAAGAAAGGTGGGATAAAAAAATCTAAAAAAAAAAGTAATTATTTAGAAGAGCATCTTATAGCAGCAGTAGTAACTCTGTTCTCAGCATCACTTGCTAAACATGCTTTTAGTTAGAAAAAATAGGTGATGGTAGAAGGTTAATATGTAGCTTAATGGTAGAAGTAGTAAGTACAAGTCATTTTATAGGCTAAACCAAGTTACTATGACATAATTTCCTATAAACTAGAGTGTACCTCATCAGATGTTGGCAATTTTATCCTAAATTGCAAATAGAATAGTTTTCTATAGAATTTTAAGGTTCATACATGACATGTAGATAACTAGCCCATGAAGCCAGTTAAATGCGTCAAGTGACTAGGGCAGTGTTTCTCAACCTTGGGCGCTTTAAGCTGTGTGGATGCTGG